GTCAGTAATAATTCATACAACTTCACTCTGGTTGTCAGTAATAATTCATACAACTTCACTCTGGTTGTCAGTAATAATTCATAGCTGTAATGTGGGTAATTACAATGTGTATGATTAAATTTCTTCGCAGAAAACACGAAAACCATTGATCGTTCTGAACTACTTAGAACTTTCGTCTAAAGATTTTCGAAAATGAGAGGTTTTAATTGTTATTAATTTTCAGTGAATTATTTCGGCTATATTTCCAAAAGAAATATCCATCAGTTCTCAATATTATATACTCTAGAAATAGGAACACAAATAAGTCATCGACATTGTGCATTCACCTAATTGTGAGGCATTTATAGAAATATTCTGATGATAATTCACTCAGTAGGTTTAAGCCTAAAATTTGTTGCAGCCTTTATAGATCGTAATCTGTATTATGTAACGCCTTATATTAGTGTATTAATTTTACGTTTACTAGATTATTTCGTATTCTGCTCGGTCTGGCATAACTTGGTGATTAGGGCACTCGACTCGTAATCTGCGGGACGTGGGATCGAACCCCATTCCAGAACATGATCGCCCTTTCACCCGTGGGGACGCTATAATGTGACGCTCAACCCCGCTATTCGTTGGTAAAAGGGTAGCCCAAGAGTTGGCAGTGAATAGTGTCGCTTAGCTGCCTTCCCTCTAGTCTATCACTTCAAAATTAGGGACGGCTAGCGCAGATAGCCGTCGTGTAGCCTTTAACCAAACAAACTTGTCATATTAATTACATGTTGCAATAATATTATTTATTGTATCAGGTTACTTACTTAATAACTGAAAGTAAATGTTGTAAACCTGTTTTGAAACTCATAAACTCGAGGAAATAAAAAATATTCACCTTATCAAAGACATTATAATTTTGTACTGGGATCCCCCTACAGATAAATGACTATGAACAAGTTTTTACAACTAAGTAATAGCTTTCGAAATAAAAATTGTGCCACCGTTCTTAAAAAGTGTAAAGTTTAAATTTCTATTCTTTTGTGGCAAATTAGGAAAGTCTAGAAAAATGAAGCGACTTTATGCAGAGGGTTGAGTATGTTATAATAAAACGAACGATTTTGAATACTGAGTAGAGTTGTTTAAACAATTATGTACAAGCTGCCCAGTGTCGGCTAACAATACGAATAATTAAATTGTGGCGAAATGCCATAAGTTCTTCAAATGCCTATTAAATGATAGGTTTATTTTTCGTGAGTGTAAAAACACTTAAATATACCATTTCGATTTTGAATATGCAAACCAGCATATTACGAAACAAATACAGCCGATGTAAAGTGGTGGTGGAAATGAATGTATCAGAAAAAAACATTTTATCTTGTTTGACGTTACATAGGTTATGTGAAGCCGAAGAAAACTGATCGCTTTGGGGAAGGGTATGTAAAAGCTCTTTCCAGCCCAAAATATTCGTACACTTACATATTATAGAGATGTTCGGATCAAGGATTTCGAACTTACAAAACGATAATTCCCCTTGTACTTAGTGGCACTGGAAAACAAAGGAATATGGATCAATCTGGGGCATCAGGATCATTCAGAAAGAGACCTGCAACAAGTCGCTCCCCAGCTGTGATAAACAAAGTGCAGCATCTTGTAAAAGGTGAGAATCCACGAACACATCGTCATCCACGTACTTTGGGCAACAGTACGTAACATAATCAAGAAGGATTTCTGTCTATAAAAGAGGAACAAGTCAAATGTACACAGCTGCTTCTATGACATATCCGTTCTACCGTCACATATCTCAAGCAACAAGAGAGTGAAACGGGTATTTATGCTATTTCATACGAAGACATACCTTTCAAGGCGCCAGACGCAGCGCCTGTGGACGTGGACTTCTGGACTGTAAATGGGGGATGGGAAACTATCGTTTTCGCATATTATACAGACTATGAAAGCCTGTAGTAAGGAGTATATACGTGTGTGTGGGGGGGGATGCTTTTCGCAGAACTACTTTCAAGATACACTGTCGTCAGATAGGACATTACGAACGTGGTGACTTGGACTGTAATTATTTGATTATGCTCCATTTTACGTGTTAATATAACATACCCAATCTCTGTAAAAGCTACTAACTTAAGTCCGCCATATTGTGAAGCAGCTGTACCACTTGTGTAATGTGCGAACAACCTCTAGTTATAGAACAAAAACCTCACCAATAATTTCGTTAATCTCTAACTTGATGCGCTTCAAAAACTTATGGCAAATTAGATTATAAAAGCTTATGGACAATCAAATTACGATGGCTTAAGGCAAATCAGATTAGAACAGCTTATTGAAAGTGATATTATGACAGATTATGGCAAATCAGATTAGAACAGCATACGGACAATCAAATTACGATGGCTTATGGCAAATCAGATTATAACAGCTTATTAAAAATCATATTATGACAAATTGTAAAACTTAGGATCTAAGATTGTATTTAGCATATATTGAATTTAGCATATATTGTATTTAGCATATATTTATTTAGCATATATTGTATTTAGCATATATTGTA